GATTATCTTTGAGCGAAAATGTAAAAGGCAGCTATATATTTTCATGTATAAAGACCCAATTTACTGTAGAAAAAATAATATTATGAATATTTGTATTATTTAGAAAACATGTCATTTCTGTCACATTATTACATTTTTGTTCTATTCTCTATTTAGTATTGTACTGTGAAGATGTATTATGTATTTTATTTATGCAAATCTATTTTTATTATTTGTTTGTACAAATTTATACAATTTATTTATATTTTCATTATTTATTTAACAATTTTATTTAGTTTAATAATTTATTTATTTGAAGCTTTTTGTATTACTAATTTTTTATAATTTACACTGTTTTTCTGTGAACTAAATAGTTCAAATCGAATAATTTATAATATAAATGCATTTCTATATATATATATATATATATATATACACACTACTGTTCAAAAGTTGGGATCAGTAAGCTTTTTAACCTCTTGAGATCCGGCAAAACTTTTTAGGAAAAAATTTGTATTTTTTCATGTCATTACATTGTTTAGAGCATTAAAAAAAAAGTTAAACTTTTTTTTTTCAATGATATTTCATTCATAAGTTATGCTACGTCCTTGGTAGAGGACATTGGGACTCAATTAAAAAAATAAAAAATATTCTATTTTAAATAAATGCTGTTCTTTTAAACTTTTTATTCATCAAAGAATCCTGAAAAAAAGTATCACAGGTTCCCAAAAATTTTTAAGCAGCACAACAGTCTCCAGCACTGATAATAAACCAGCATATTAGAATGACCTGAATGCATCAAACTGCCTGAAACAGCCTTTGGATTCTCCTGGCTGTTTGCTGTAGGGAGTTGATTGATTGGCTGATAATTTCGATGAGTTGAGTTTAACACCTGTGGCTGATGCAGCCTGCGGGTCGAGCCAATCAGATGCTTTTGTCAGTCTTGTGGTTGTCCGATGGAGTCCTCAGGAGGAGCTCGAGCTCTGCGCTAATGAATTTAGAGCTGCTGCAGTCATCAGAACCTGCTGCTGCTGTGAAATTAGATTCGAGAGTCTGACTTCATATTGAGCACACATGCATCCCGGGCAGCGTCTGATTGAAAACACCATTCTCCAGCTCCTCGTGTAAACCGCGACCTCTTCATCACAAATGACACATGCTGCTCACTGACAGCGCCGTCTATGAGATGCACATCTATCTATGAAGAAATGAGAATAGCGGACAGGTGACACAATGATCACGTTTCATAGGCATGATGATTTCCTTCAACACGTTACAGGGGAAATTAAAGTATTAGTTCACTTACAGAATAAACATTTCCTGATAATTTACTCACCCCCATGTCATTCAAGATGTCAAGAGGTCTTTCCGTCTTCATTTGCAAAGAAATTATGGGGTCGAGCCAATCAGATGCTTTTGTCAGTCTTGTGGTTGTCCGATGGAGTCCTCAGGAGGAGCTCGAGCTCTGCGCTAATGAATTTAGAGCTGCTGCAGTCATCAGAACCTGCTGCTGCTGTGAAATTAGATTCGAGAGTCTGACTTCATATTGAGCACACATGCATCCCGGGCAGCGTCTGATTGAAAACACCATTCTCCAGCTCCTCGTGTAAACCGCGACCTCTTCATCACAAATGACACATGCTGCTCTATGAGATGCACATCTATCTATGAAGAAATGAGAATAGCGGACAGGTGACACAATGATCACGTTTCATAGGCATGATGATTTCCTTCAACACGTTACAGGGGAAATTAAAGCATTAGTTCACTTACAGAATAAACATTTCCTGATCATTTACTCACCCCCATGTCATTCAAGATGTCAAGAGGTCTTTCTGTCTTCATTTGCAAAGAAATTATGGTTTTGAGCAAAATATAATGGATATAATGGACTTCAATGAGGATCAACGGGCTGAAGGTTTCATTGCAGCTTCAAAGAGCTCTACACCATCCCAGCCGAGGAATATGGGTCTTATCTAGCCAAACCGTCTGTCATTAACCATCTGTCAAAAACTGTCAATTGTATATACTTTTCAACCACAAATGCTGGTTTTGCACTAGCTGGACTAGCTGGAAAGGTCACGCATGACGTAGGCGGAAGCACTGACCCAGCAGCCTCCGACCGCAGCTTACCAGAGCTGATGACTGCGTGTACAGGTGGATACACGCTTAAAAACATCAGAATAAAGCGTCCAAAAGGGTGTTTTCACAGTGATGCCATAGAAGAACCACTTTCGGTTCCCCAAAGAACCTTTCAGTGAAGAGTTCCTAAAAGAAGCATTTTTTTCCAAATGTGAAGAACATTTTAATAATCTAAAGAACCTTAAGAGAATGGAAAGATTCTTAAAGGTTCTTTATGGAATCATGCACACCAATAAAGAACCTTTACTTTTAGTAGCATAGATAAATTCGATGCTCAATTCATTCTCATTGACAACATTAAATGTCTAAATTAACACTTTAGTAATCCGAGGATCAGTACAACATCAACAAACTTTCTCCTACTACAACTTCAAGCAGCTGTTCGTTTTGCTTTGTTCATGTTCATCTCTTCACGAGCGAAGTGGCGTTACTGTATCTTATTAGTGCATACAGCTCTTTGTGTATGACGGGCCTCAATGGCGTTGCTCAGCCGAGGGTAATTTGAGGTGTTCGGGTTGAACAGACACTGCAGAAGTCAAGCTAATGTACCTTGATTTAGTTGAGTAGAGAGGTTCGATGGAGGTCAGAAAGACATTTAACTGTCTACTCAAAATAGCTCATGGATAGAACATTACAGAGCATTCTGGGAAAAGCTTTTACCAGTTGATTCCACGTTTTTTCATCATATAAAGCAAACAGTATTTGTGCTCGTGAATAAAATATATAATACATTACCAACAAATTAACTTTTTGATTTAAAGCTGCTGCTTAAATGCTTAAATGGTTCTGTATAAATAAATCTTTAGCGTTATAGTTTGTTTGTTTTTATATAAATTGTGACTAGCTAGTAAAGAAAACCTGTTCGGCACACATGGAAACTTCAGTCTATGACGTTAATATTGTGTGAGAAATAAAATGTAATATTAAATGTGGGCCTTATAACATATTTGATTTGGGCAGTTTTATTTTCTTTTTCTTATTTCCTGAAATGGAAAATTAATTTTAAATACAGAATGCATAAGGGATCACAACCCTTTTTTTGAGACAGCAAAAAAAACCTTTTATATTTATAAAAAATTAAAAACGACTACATAAAATATATTGTATTTATGAAGGCTTTAATATTGAGTGTGGGAAATAAAATGTAATATGCATGTGTCCATGTTCTGGATGTTCTCCAGCTCATGACAATTTAGTTTAATTTTCATTTTTTAAAATCTTAACTAGCCTGTCCAAATGACAATCTAACACTTAACAGTGATTAATAATAATGAAGAAATACTTTTTTCCAGTGGGATTTTTTTATTTCCCGTAAATGGATCATGGCAGAAATGAATTCATTTTAATACAGAATGCAGTAACAGATCACAACTCGTGAGGCACCAATTGCAGAAAAAAAGAATATATATACACATTTTGAAATACAACATCTGCCCATCTCAAACTTATGAATTTTCATATTCTTTCTCCAGTTCCTTCACATAAACTTTAGCATGCACTCACATCAATATGGCCTCCATAATTTCGTATTCATAAAACATTTCTGGGTCATATTTCTTTTAAAAGTAGCTGTGCAAAAATAACTATATAAAATATATTGCTTTGACAGATACCAAGCAAGAGGCGCCGTAAATAAATTAATCTAGACAGGAATAACAAGCAGGAACGAATAGACTTTAACATCGTAGGGCAAATTCAAATGTAATGTACAAACAGACCAGGTACAAGTTTAATAACCGCAAACATCACGTCAACCAAAAATGCATGAAAAACTCCGTACACTTTTTTTCTTTTTGTAAATAAATGGTCAAATACACCATCTTCACATAAAAGGTGGAAAATACACATTACAATAATATTTACAGTACATAGTGGAGGGTCTGATCTGGCAACATGACCCTTTATGCACAGGATCAGTTCTCCATCGGTGTCTCAGATTCAGTGTGACGCAGTGATCGAGCCCCGCTTCAGGTGTTTACGGTCCGTTATGGTCTTTTGAAGGGCTTTAAAAAATCTCAAATAATCATCCTGGATGCTGGAGTATTCCATGTTCACAGGGCTTCAAGAAAACACCAGTAGAAACAAACCCATAAATCAGTTATGACGTAACCAATTAACAGAAGTTTGAACTTCAGTGAATATTGTGTTTATGAATGCTCTCTAAATCTTTTTATATATATAAAAGCTATATATATATATATATATGGCACTATATTATTACTTTTCATGATCTTTCAAACCTTTTGATCTAATGGCTTGAAATTTTGTAGACAAATATAAATTGTGCCAACATATGAATTTCTTTATAAATCTTACATTTGAATTAAAATGGATGAGTTGAAACTGTATTATTCTACAATATGGAAAATAGAGAGTAAATGTGTCCAAACTTTTTGATTCTATATATTTATACTTTACCATATACATACAACTACCATTCAAAAGTTTGGAGTGCCAAGGATTTTTCAAATGTTTTTGAAAGAAGCCTCTCCAAAGCTGCATTTATTTGATCAAAAATATGGTAAAAATTGTGAAATATTATTACAATTTAAAACAGCTGTTTTCTGTGTGAAAATATTGTAAAATGTAATTTATTTCTGTGATGCGCAGCTGAATTTTCATCATCATTAGTCTTCAGTGTCACATGATCTTCAGAAATCATTCTAATAAGCTGAGTTGCTGCTCAAGAAACATTTCTGATTATTAGTGTTGAAAACTAATTTTTTTCTTCAGGCTCCTATGATGAATAGAAAGCATTTATTTGAAATAGAAATCTTTTGTAACATTATAAATGTTTTTACTGTCACTTTTGATTAATTTAATGCATCCTTTCTGAATAGAAGTATTAATTTCTAAAAGATAAATGTTTTGAATGGACAGTAGTGTGTGTATGTATGTGTGTACAGGGGCTGGAATCGTCTTCAGATCGGATGCCTTCATCTGAAGTGTGTTTTCTAGGGTTGTTGCATATAAACGTCCTAAACATTTGACTCTATAAAGGATCTCTTTGGTTTCATTGCCGCTACATGAATGGTGGGGTTTTCTCGAGTTAAGCCGGGCTGTTTGCTCATACTGTCCATGAATGAATGTGCCATAGCCAGAACCGGTTTGCTTTCTTTATGGCAGAACTCTTTAGCATGCAGACTCCCGTTGTGCAGGCCGCCCATGGCGGGACCTTTGAGCGGCTCGTAATAAGCTCCGGACGGTTTGCCGTACATGGTCTCACCCGTCAGACCCGCAGAAGCAACGAGTCCTTCAGTGGAGTGACTCTGCCAACCTCGTGACGCCACCGGCTGCTGCTGCTGAAATCGAGCCGTTTTGTCCATGATTCCCATGAACGGACGGGGTTTGTACTCCACAGAGCCGGTCTGGCTGATCTTAGGCTTGTCCGATGTGGTTTTGGTGCGCACGTCTGGGCCTTGCACTTTCCCGCTGTCTGATAAACTGCTGCTGGACGCCAGACTGCTGGTGGAGCTGGAGACCCTCATACTGGCGTCTTTTCGCAGCTCTTGACTTTGAGCTCCAGAAGTCGTGGAAAGAAGCGTCCCTTCTAGAGACTGAGTTTTGGACGAGTGCACTTGGATGTCTGCATCATTGTTTGCGGGCAGTAACGGGCTGATGTCGATGCCCGGTCCAGCCTTTAGCGCGCTGGATATGTGCCGGCTGGGAATCGGGCTGGACGGAGCATATTGTGATTGGCTCTTTGTGTTTGTCGGTCGTGCCGATCCCGCCTGTAAGGATCCCAGATGCTGGTTGGTTTTGACGATCTGAGCCTGTTTGCTGGGCTGCAGGACGAGGCTCTTCTGGTGCTGATGTCGGAGGCTTTGCCTGTGAGGCGGCGAAACCGAGCGGCCGTTTGAAGTCTGGTTTAGCGAGTAAATGTTTTGAGACCAGGCCTCAGAGTCGTCATCCTCCTCCTCCTCCTCGTCATCGATGTGCTCCATCCTGTCGTCCTCAGCGTGCTCCGGGTTGCTCAGGCTCTGGTGTTTGCTCTGCATCTGTTTGCACTCGTCCTCGACGCGAGCCAGCAGACGGCAGATCTCACGGTTGTTGGGGCAGAGCTTTGACGCCTCGAGCAGGTCGGCTAACGCTGCGGCGAACTGCCTGAGAGCAGAGCGTTCAGAAAGAGATGGAGAGAAAATCGTAAAAATAATTGAGACTGGAAAAGCAAATAATTGTTTTTGTTAGAGTGACAGGAAAATGAACCAATCATTCAAATCAAAACACTAGTGACAAGTTTTGTAAAATTATTGTATAGTTATTTCTCTATTATTATTAGCAACTAGCAAAAAAAATTATACAGCATTTAGATACAATATTTCACCCTCTCACTCCATTCATCATCTTGTATGGCTGAATTATATTTACATAATACACACACATAAATATAAAACAATTTTTATTATTTTACTATTATTATTTTTATAGATGCATTTGTATTTTATAATTATAATCAAAAATTCTCTCTCTCCAGCCACCATCTTGGATCTTTTACTGAATTAATTATATTTTAAATGTATATATATATATAAAATAAAAAATATTCATAATTTTAATTACACAAATGATATGAATGAATTCATTTAAATTAAACAATAAATGTATAAGTTAGAATTGTAATCAACATTAATCAACAATCACTCACTCCACCATTTTAAATGGGTGGAGTGAGTGAATTTAATCTTTTTAAAATAATCTTTTATAGATTAGAATATTTAATTATAATCAACATTTAGCACTGTAAGAAAAATTTCGTAATTTAATGCAATTCTGACTTGACCAGAACAGACTTTGCATCTAAAGTGCACCGGTGATGCCTTAAAATGTTGCCTAAGTAGGCAGCTCACTAGGTTTGGAGCAGATGAAGATGCATCATGGTCTCACCTGCTGCTGCGTTTGGCTCTGGCTCTAGCGTAGTACGCCTCGTACGATTTGGGTTTGAGCTCCAAAGCCTTGGTTGCAAAGTCCTCCGCCAATCCAAAGTCCTGTCAGAGAGAGTGAGGTGAACGTCAGGGACCAAAACTCAGAACAGCCAAACTAAGAGAAGCAATCATCCACTCAGCCTGAGCTGCAGGATTCAGACTCCCACCGCAGCACGGCTGAATAGCTGTAAATTGGTCCAAATAATAGGTGATTAATTAAATGAACTCTTCAGCTGTTGTTCATTGTGTCATCAGTCAAAGGTGCAGACTGGAAATTGGCTCCGTATTGTGTCGGGAGACCTTTTGGAGCCGGGTTATTACTTCTGAATAGACCTTCAAATCAATTCAAGTCCTCGGAGTAATTTGCATCTTTCTGGTCTTGCCGTGTCTGACATTTTGAGCAGAGAAAAACCTCAATCTGATTGATCCAGACCAGCAGAACCAGCAGGGGCGAACTCTAGACCTTGGCTAAAATTACATATAAACATTATATAATATATATGATTAATTTTACAATTAGGGATATCAAGAATTTATAGAGTCGATCATCATTTAAATAGGGATAAATTAACTTAGCATCAATAATAACAAATGAAATAAAATTTGATGTGCAAATTTGTAAATAAAATGTGATTATTGTAAAATGTATTAAAAGGGAAAAAAATTACATGTGCAGTGTTTTTGACTAAAATGTAAATAAATCAGAAATAGAAATGGAATAAAATATAATAAAATATAAAATACACAGCTATGGGCAAAATTAAGTGACCACCAGTTTTTCTGGATTTACTAGGTATGGATTTTAGTAAAATGTTAATATTTGTTTTATTCTGTAAAGGTCTGATAACGTATCTTCCAAATTTCAAATAAAAATATTGTCATTAAGAGATTTTTTTTTCTTTTCAGAAAATGACAATTGGTCAAAATAACAAATGTTTTTTATTTGTTGTGATTGAAAATCAGTGTTATTCCACCAAATATTGATTTCTTAACTCTTCTGAAGTTAAAGCATTGGTATCGAGTTGTCTAAAAATCAATATGAATATGTCTGAAAACATGCCATTTTTTTGTTATTTCGACCATTTATTTTGTCTAAATGATAAGATTTTGTATTTAAAATTTGGACGAAATGTTACAACAATTATGTATTACATATGTTAGGATAAATTATATTTATACTGATAAATGACATGAAAAACTAACTGAAATGAAATTAAACTGATTTACAAAAAAATTACTAAATCTAAAACTGAAATAAAATAAATAGAAATATTAAAAACAAACAAAAGAAACCTAATAATAACAAAAATTGTACAAAAAAATCTAAATAAAAACTGAAAAAGTAAAAGCTAAATAAATAAATAGATACTTTAATAGTGTATAAATAATACTAAAATAACACTGCCAGTCTGTTGCATTTTAAAGCTATCGTGTGGGTTGTAAAACATTTTTTGATGAACGATGTTTGAAAACCTCGATTCAATAGGTGAATTCAAAATCTGAACTTATATGAAAGCATGTCCACAGAAAGTTATAAAAGAATCGTCTGACTGTACAGAAGAGGCGGAAGTAAATGACATTTCTAATGCTTCCGGTGTCTTACGTTGGTTTTCCGGCGGCAGCGGGAGAGATTGAGGTACAGAGAGACACGCAGCTCCTTAAAGGCCTTGAGTTCATCACCGAATCCCTCTCTGGGAAACTTCCTCAATGCGTACTGATACCGCTGAGCTGCTTCCTTCATCTTCCCCCTCTGAGAGAGAGAAACACAGCTCATCAATCACAGATCATCCTGACACACATCGTCTGCTCTGATAACAATCACTCAATATCTCATTATTTCCTGGATTCAAGCTCAGCGCTTTGATAAGGCTTATGGAGATAATCGTTCCCATTTTTATTTGAATAGGAATTCAGTAATTAATATCGCATATCAACACTTCTCTGGAATACTCTTGAAGAATCTTGACCTTGAGGTGTTAAGTGTCTTCATGTAATTACGCTAAACTTGAATCTGTCCTGACCTTATACAGCAGGTTGCCTTCCTCCATGAGCTTCTGCAGGAGGATGATGAGGATGTCGGGTTTGGAGGTCGCCATCGCCCAGGCTGCGTTACCTTGGATACAGAGAGAGAGAGAGGGAGAGAGAGAGAGAGAGAGAGAGAGAGAGAGAGACTGGTGGAGCGTTACATCAAACTGATCCTTAAAACACAGCAGAGCAGAAGTATGGAATTGGCGTGAAATAGAGTTACCTAAAGAGTGTACCTGTTCGATCATAAGGTGACGTTCTGTAGCCTGATGAGGGTTTTAGTGAAAGCAGTTAAAAGAGAGAAGAATGAAAAACAGAGCAGAAAGAGACATGCAAAGAGAAAATACAGCATCACACATCCACAGCAGCCTTCAGACCTCACACGTGTTTCACTTTTACACCGACACCGAGCTGCTGGAACCGCTCTGCTTGTTTCCACTGAAGAAATTTAAGTTCTGGACCCCAAAAACTGTCTCATTTTTAATACGTTTTCATCTTTTCATTCACTCATGAGCCTCCTGCAGTTCCCTCATGAGCCTTAGATTGGGAAGCCCTGAGACTGATCTAGCTTTATCACACGGAGTTGTTTGTGTTTGGTAAAATTAAAATAATTTAAAAATGTAATCAAATGTAAAGTAAACATCTTTTTTATTAAATTTTTTTTACCTGCATGTTATTTTTGCATCATTAAGATACTATTATAGTTTAAAAAAATATTCTGAATCAATATTTATTTTTGTCTTTTGTAATTTTTATTATTATTTTTTTAAAATACTATAGTTTAAATCAAATTTTATTTCAACTTTAGTTGTTTTAAGACAAGAAGTTAAACTAAATGAGAAATCTTGCAACTATGTCAAAGAGGTTCAGCAGGCAAAAAAGTCTGAAAATCCCTGATGTAAATAAAGCTGAGGCACACTTTTTGTTTTGCTATGCTGGAAACTACTTCAGCCACTTTATTTTCATTTAAATTTGGATTATTATGATTAGTTGATTATGCATTTTAGTTGATATACTGTATGTGAAGTGTAGTTTCTGTGTCATCAGTAAGACTGAAATGAAATGCATAATTAATGACTTTTTAAACACAAATCACCTTTAAATAAAGTCTGAGCGTTTCATCAAAGCCAACTTGTCAAAAAATGCAGAATTAAATTACTTTGGATGTTATAAGTTGTGAAAACAAGGAGTACGATTCATAAAGTCCACGACACTATGACACTTTGTGGGCAGATGATGAGTTAAATCAGCTCAAGTCAGTGGAAACAGCCAGTTCTGAGAAAGGCTGAGCCCCAGCAAAAACACACACACACACACACACACACATTGGTTTTTATGGTTTACGGGGACTCTCCATAGGCATAATGGTTTTTATACTGTACAAACTGTATTTTCTATCGCCCTACACCTAAAGCTACCCCTCACAGGAAACTTTCTGCATTTTTAGATTTTCAAAAAAACACCATTTAGTATGTTTTTTAAGTCTTTTGAATTATGGGGACACAGGAAGTGTCCTCATAAACCAACCTTCACATTGTAATACCCATGTCATTATACAAATTTGTGTCCTCATAAACCACAAACACACACACACACACACACACACACACAAGCAGCAGGGTCTGTAATGTAAGAGCTTCAGGAGGAAAGATGTGATTGGCTAATAAATATCACATGCTCATGTTACTGATGACCAATGGTCTATTTCAGTGAATCAATTCAAAACTCTTGATTCTTTTCACTGTATTTTACTTCTTGCATTAAAACATTTTGAAACTACAATAACTATTCAGTCCACATGTTGTCTCCTCTGACTGAAAACCCCATCATGCTTCACATTTCACAGCAAATACATGAATATTGATAATATCAAAAGGCATGATTTTCATCCATAGGATCCAGTGGAAGCGCAGATGCTGGTCTCACCTAGTTTGGCTCCTTTCTTCAGTAAGGTCAGCACCACTGAGGTGTTTCTGCAGCCGATGGCGCGATCGAGCGGCCTCATGCCACTGTAGTCCACATGCTCGACCACGGCCCCTTTCTCAACCAGATAATGAACCTGCAAACACACACCTCAAATCATCAGTGTGAATCTGTGAGCGGGAATCTGAACTAGAATGACAGCAAGAGGAACTTCCTCAATTTCATGGCAAAATACACTACTGTTCAAAAGTTTGGGGCCAGTAAGTTTTATTTTTTTAAAGAAATGAATACTTTTATTCAACAAGGATGCATTAAATTAATCAAAAGTGACAGTAATGACATTTATAATATTTCAAAACATTTCTATTTCAAATAAATGCTGTTCTTTTGAGCTTTCTATTTATCAAAGAATTTTGAAAAATAAAATGTTTCATGTTTTCCACAAAAATATGAAGCAGCACAACTGTTTTCAACATTGATAATAATCAGAAATGTTTCTTGAGCAGCAAATCAGCATATTAGAATGATTTCTGAAGATCATGTGACTCTGAAGACTGGAGTAATGATGCTAAAAATTTAGCTTTGATCACAGAAATAAATTACATTTTAACATATATTCAAATCGAAACGGCTATTTGAAATTGTAATAATATTTCAATTTTTTTTACTGTATTTTTGATCAAATAATTGCAGCCTTGAGCAGAAGAGACTTCTATCAAAAACATTAAAAGGTAAAGAGGTAAAGCTGACCTCATACGTCACTCCCCCGGAGCTGCTTCTGTTTACAACAGTGAGCGCAAGCTAGATTCAATGTGTGAGACATTTTTTTTTATGGATGGGCGATTTTTATTTAAGTTATTTTGGACTGAAGCAATGCAACACCCGCTGAGTGGCATTAAACAGCTTGAAAGATCAAAGACAATTTTTAATATAACTCCGACTGGATTCGTCTGAAAGAAGAAAGTCATATACACCTAGGATGCCTCGGGGGTGAGTAAAACGCAGCCTAATTTTCATTTTTGGGTGAACTAACCCTTTAAACTCATATTATAATTTTGCATCCATTTATTAACTCAATCCAAATGCATCAAGCTACAGCGGCAAAAACTTGCCAAAAAAAACCCTTAATCTCTCTCATGATCAAATGCACCAGTCCTGTGACTTCACACACCGTATCTACATCAGAAAGTGTCCTGCTGACCTCCATGAGCCTCGATCTACAAAATGTTCTTCACTTACGATGTCTGCGTCTCCGTAGAAAGCAGCCAGGTCCAGCGGAGTGCGTCCATTCTTGTCCGAGTGGTCGATAACTGCACCCTTCTCCACCAAAAACTGAACAACGTTCTTGTGTCCTTTTAAACATGCCCAGCTGAGCGGACTTAACCCTTCCTTATCTACCGACCCTAAAGAGGCACCTGGGAAAAGCAGAGGAAGTTCATTTGAACTCTTGCTGGAAACCTGCCACTATTTTGCTGCTCTACTTTGTTGCATTATAAAAGCCAACAACCACAAAAGATTATGCTGATAAATAAAGTGCATTTACGCACGTCACTCACCTTTAGACAGCAGAAAGTCGGCCGTGCTAAGATGCCCCTCACATGCGGCCACCATCAGCAGCGTTCGGCCCTGTTTGTCGCTTACATTCACATCCGCCCCATGCTGCAGCAGCAGATCTGCAATCTGAAAGAGAGGCGTTCCTTCATTAAATATCTTTTCTGAAGAGGAAGTACTGCTGTTTGTGTTGTTCGGGTGTTTTGCAGGGTCTCACCTGCCAGTGTCCCTGTCGGACTGCGCAGAACAGGGCACATGCTCCTCTCCTGTTCACCTGCTGAACCTGCGCCCCCCGCTCCAACAGGAAGCTGCACACCTCCATCTTCCCCCGTCCTGCGGCCGCAGTCAGAGCTAAGACAATAAAGAGAAATGCAAACATGAATTATGAGTTTCCATTGAATGTCACAAACTATTTAAAATAAATAATAAAAAGAGGCACATATAATGCATGTTATAGCTCTTTGGGGAAATTCTGCAAGAGCTTTGCAGGTGTGATACCACAAAAAATGTAAGTAACCATCTTGAGTTTAAGATGCACCCAGTGTGCTTTATTTTGAAAATATTTAATGAAAGCATATAGAGGAAAATGAATTATTTATTGCTATAGGAAAAATAAAGTAATAATATAAAATAAAAAATCAATCAATAATAAAATAATCAATTAATTAATAATAATTGAATTTATTTTTATTAATTAGTAATAATACAATTATAGATCACTTTTGACTTCAGAAATAAGAAAAAACAACAACAAATTTGATTTTGTAACCCTTTTGTAAATTATAACCCTCGTGTTGTTCTGAAAATTCTTTACCAAATTTGCTGTTCCCAGTCAAAAATTACTGGCATTTTAAAAATTGCTTGTGAATCTCTCATTATACTATAATATTACAAATATTTTTGGATGCAATCTTTTTATCAACTTGTTTTCTTTCAATTAGCACGTTTTGTTCTTATTGGAACTGATTGATCATAGACCTCATTGATATGAGATTATGCACCTCAGTTTCTGAGTGAAAAAAGCCAAAATTATCCACACATTTTTTGCATTATTATTGATTAATATTGGAAATGTTCACTCAAAAACTGAGGTGAATGAGCTCAGAGCAATGAGGCCTATGATCAGTCAATGCCAAAAATAAATACAAAACCTGTGCTAAACAAAAGAAACGAGCTGACAAAAAGATTAAATCCAAGATTTGGTAATAATAATTAGGGGTGTGCGATATTGACAAAAAAATGATATCTCGGTATTTTCTGGGATTTTATCGATAGTTAGATACATTTATTTGTCCTCAGAGAGGAAATTAATTTTCACAGAAGGTGCGTATACAACACAAGGACAAGTACTCATTATGTACAAACTTGTCACAATACATTCACGAACAACAACAAAAATTACGATTAAAGATTACGATAATTAGATGATATTTTGCTGAGTGTGTTACTGTACTGACATCTTAAGGACTACCGTGGACAGCTGACTCCTAATGTTTTATGATATTCTTCATATTCTGTGTGGTGATGATCAGTTCACAGTAGTGACAGAGATGAATCTTTTCCAATCATTTTAAATTGATTTTTACCTTTTATGGGCATTGTTACCATTATAAAGCCATTTTTTCTAAAAGTATGCATCATCTTTAACAAAATTCATCTTTGCAATGCAGAGGAAACACAGAAGCTGCATCTGAAGTGGCATTTAGATGTGTTTCCACACTGTTTAATTCAGCTCATAGGGACATGCAATGATTTAACCTGCAGTTACAAATGCATAAATAATGTTTTGATATTTTAAACATAAAACGTTGAAAACTGATATTTGCGAGTATTTAAAAAATTAAAAGATACTTTAAATATAAAATTAAAACCGCCAGTAGGTGGCAGCAAGTTACCGATTATAAGTGAGTCATTGCGATTGAACCGAATCATTTAAACGGGTGATTCATTCAGGAACAAAACACTGTCATGTTGCTCAGAGATGCTAAACAGTGCTGTGGCTTTGTTTGGAATTATTTTTGTTGGCGAAATAGAGCAAAAACAGGCAATGTGGTGTCTAAAACACCACACAAACTCTTAATATTAACTTCTTGTTTATCGAACTGTTGTATAAAATCAATATCACTTTTGTAAACGTGCTGATTTTTGGAGAACATTTTTTTTTACTTCTCATGTAATATTGATTAACTATATGAAATGATATAAATGTATACATTTTCTGCCCCCATTTCTTGAATTCGAACCTACTAGACTTCATCACGTAATGTAAGCGTGCACTCTGTAGGTGTGTTTTGTTTGGTTTTTGGATATACTCGATAAAATCAAATCGCACATCGTTAAAACAACAATTATGATATTATCGTAGATGATATATACTGTATATCGCACACCACTAGTAATAATATAGTGCAAACAGAAATTTAAGCAATCATTTCTTTGCATGGTCATTTTTGACTGTAAACAGCACAAGTATAACAAGATGGGGACAACATTTTTTTTGGAAAGTTGTTATACCCTGTGTGAAACAAAGTTTTAGTTCAATGTGAAAACATTAATAGGAAAAATAAAATCCTCTCCAGGCCAAACGACTGGAGCACAATATGAAGGTTAAGGAAAATCAAGCCTATTTTCAGGATCATAATGCAATTACATACTGTGACATTATTTTCATTACAATTAAGCACACCACTTCCCATATTCTCATTATCGTAATGTGTATATTAAAGGGGTCGTATGATGCAATTTCAAGTTTTCCTTTCTCTTTGGTGTTACAAGCTGTTCGTGCATAGATAAGATCCCTAAAGTTACAAAGACTAAAGTCTCAACCCCAAACTGTCTCTAGATCACTAAAAGATAAAAGAGATTTCAGTTTACGTAAACCCCTAAGCTGAAAAAAACTAGCTCTAACAACAGAGTTTATTTGCTTGTCGAATTTTAACCCAGATTCTTTACACGAGTATGGATATTTTCTTGCAAGGATCCTAAACTAGAGGACATGCCATTAACCAAATGGGGGGAGCCAAATAGAATGATTTCAGTCTTGTTTTCATTTAACTGAAGAAAATTATCACCCATCCAGCTTTTAATGTTGTTTACACAAGCAAGCAAGTCAGATAAGGACCTTGACCCAGGTTTAATTGACATATACAACTGGGTATCATTCGCATAAATGTGATATGGGACCTTGTGAGACTCAAAAATATAACGAAGAGGGAGCATATATAAAGCAAACAAAATCGGGCCCAAGATGGAGCCCTGCGGCACCCCACCAGTAACAGAGGCGGGTGATGAATGAGACTGACCTATCTCCACAGAGAAACTCCTCGCAGTAAAATAAGATTCAAACCAATCTAAGGCCGAATCAAAAATACCAACCTCAGTTTTTAACCTGTTTAAAAGAATACAGTGATCTACTGTATCAAATGCCGCACTTAAATCCAACAGTACCAAAACTGCACAATTTCCAGAATCCACAAATAATAACAAGTCGTTTATCACTCTTAACAAGGCCGATTCAGTGCTATGCTTGGATCTAAAATCAAACTGAAAAGGATCCAATATATTATTTTCAATTAAGTAAGGTGATAACTGATTTAAAACAGCTTTCTCCAATACTTTTGATAAGAATGGCAATTTTGAAATAGGTCTATAGTTGTTAAAATCATCCAGATTTGCTGTCTTTAGCAGCGGATGAACCACTGAATGTTTAAAACAGGATGGAACTGAACTTGTCTGTAAGGAATTGTTGATAACGGAAATAATATTAGGTGCAACTGCGTCCAACACTTCCTTTAGTAGCGTAGTTGGTATAACGTCAAGAGAGCAAGTGGTCGATCTTAAACTGGACACTATGTTCAACAACTCAGAGCATCTGAGAACTTTCTCAAGAAAGAAGGCGTAACTTTGACTCTCGCTGTAGAATTGTTGCTGCTGCATTATATAAGTCATTATAATCAGTAATTATGTCCCCACTGGATGCAACAAATGCTTCATTTATAATGGGTTTTAATGTTTTTGTCTCGTCGCTCCGGCCGGGACACGGCATCACAGTATGGTAAGGGGCGTAACATTTCCATCACACGCTTGAGGTATTCGGCCAATCACAATGCACTGGATAGCTGGCCAAACACCTCGCTTTTCAGACTGATGAGCTTTGTAAAAATCGATGCGTTTCAGAAAGGCGGGGCATAGAGGAGAAACAATAATTTAACCTTAAACCGCATAAACACATTGCATTACACCAAATACCCAAAATAATGTTCTTTTTAGCAACATCATATGACCCCTTTAATGTTTTGCAGAGCAGATCTAATATTCCACAGCGGCTCTTAGCTGAAGATTCATGTGTAGGTCAACGCTAACAGATCTATCTGTTTGTCTGACAGTGCAGCTCATCCATCAGACAGCGAGAGCTCAGAGGAACAAGAGAAGTGACAATCACCAAACCGCTTCAACATGGACGGCAACTGCTAACCTGAGCAGAACCACACGATCCCCCACAATGCATCTATAAACACTGTGAATTTGTGGTCTGGATGCACACAAAAAGTCTGACACGCATCAAAGAGCTCAAATCATAGGAATCCAGATCTCTCTGATCTTCTGACATAGAGTTCATTGTGCCGAGAAACAGGAAATCTATATACATCTATCCATCATCCATATATCCATCTATCCATCCATCCGTCTGTCCGTCCATCTATCCATCCATCCATCCATCCAAATATCCATCCATCTATCTATCTGTGTGTCCGTCCGTCTGACTATCTATCTATCTGTTTGTCTCTGTCCGTCCGTCCGTCTGTCTATCTATCTGTCTGTGTGTCCATCCGTCTGTCTGTCTGTCTATCTATCTATCTATCTATCTCCATCTATCCATCCATCCATCCATCCAAATATCCATCCATCTATCTATCTGTGTGTCCGTCCGTCTGACTATCTATCTATCTGTTTGTCTGTCTGTCCGTCCGTCCGTCTGTCTATCTATCTGTCTGTGTGTCCATCCGTCTGTCTGTCTGTCTATCTATCTATCTATCTATCTGTCTGTGTGTCCATCCGTCTGTCTGTCTGTCTATCTATCTATCTATCTATCTATCTATCTATCTATCTATCTATCTATCTATCTATCTATCTATCTATCTATCTATCTATCTATCTATCTATCTATCTATCTATCTATCTATCTATCTATCTATCTATCTATCTATCTATCTATCTATCTATCTATCTATCTATCTATCTATCTATCTATCTATCTATCTATCTATCTATCTATCTATCTATCTATCGTCTGTTTGACTGTCCATCTATCCATCCATCCATCCATCCAAGCAACATTAGAAACATTACAA